TAGGCCTTTGAGTCCCGACCAGAAGGATATTTGTTCCAATATCCTGTTTCTCTTGTAATGAAATTTTTTGATTCATTTTTCAGATTTATCAGATGAAACAATGCTTAAGGTACTGAGGACATTCTAAGCATGTCATAGCAGGACATTACATAAAGTATGTGTCTGTAGACTTTTCAGTTTCTTCTCACACTGTATTTATTAATGTTAGCTATGAGGAGGTCACATTGAATATTTCAATTGAGTCCATAAGATCATTGAAAAAATCGGAATAGTTCATCGTATCTGGAGGAAGAATAAACCCAAGTTTGTACTCTTCACTGCGCGCCCTTTTGCACCGGGGGGCAAGCGTTAGCATATTATGACTCAACTAAGTGTGCGGGGACTAGATGCCAAGCTGTAGGGGAAGTTACACAAGGAGAGAAGAAGATATGAAGTGAGAGATTACTGAAGCAAACCGTCATAATTAAGTTCCATTGTGGAGCTATTTTTCAAAAAAAAACAAGTGAAAACAAAGAGATACAATGTAACACAACAAATTCTACAACCAGCCATGCATTACTCATTAGTGAAGAGGGCAAAGCACCCGGGGGAAAGCGGCTGTGGCCTGTTCGTCACAGCAACAGGTCAATTGCCGGCTTTCCCACCTAGGAGACCGTGTGGAAAAATTAACGAGAAAGTACAAATCTTTCCGACAAACTTTGCCAAAATCAATTGCGCGAATCGATTACTAGTGTGTGCCCCCAGCATCTGGTGTGGCCGGTCGGAGTGAGGGTGGTTTCTACCACGGGCGGGACTATTTGTAAATGACTCGCTCCCGTCTCGTCCGAGCATTGGTGGTATAAATGCTCATCTTTCTAACTATCACAAATACAATTGTAAATAGGTGCAGTCGTAAAACTTTTGCTCTGTATTATGAAGTCAGGCGGGGCGATGTTAAAAACATGTCGCGTGCAGCAATGCTGGTCTTCTGCAAAGGTATGTTCAGTGTTTCAGTTGTTCATGTAGAAATATTATTCATTGGCGTTAAAGTCATTCGCAGTGTGTTCACGGTACAGTTCTATTAATGGTGCCTGTGAATTGCATCACTGTGATATAAAAAAGCGCAGAGTTCTGAAAAATCGCGGCGGATCTCTTTCTGAGTGAGGGGGGAGGATACGTTATTAGATTATTTCCATATATTAACTCCTGATTATACCCCACGATTATCGAATGAGAACCTTTCGCCTGAAATGCAACATCCCTAATTGAGCAGTAACCAGTATATCAATGTATAGCCAGGACACTTATATCAGCTGATAGCACAAGTACAAAGGTTATTATTTCCAATGTATTAGGGCAGGGAACTATATTAAGTGTTTATAGCAGTAACCGTATACTTAATTGTATAGCAGGGGACATACATTAAGGCTATAGCAGAACACAAGTATATTAATGCTAGTACGCAGGTAAGCAGTATATTCTACTGTGATACGCAGGAACCACACATTCTAATGTATGTAGCAGTACACAGCTATATTAATGGTATAGCACAGTAACAGTATACTTAATGTAAATGTATAGCAGGGACACTACATTAATGTATAGCAGTGACACTATATCAATGTATAGCAGGGACGGTATATTTTGAACTGTAATCAATGATTCTGCTGTTTGATTGTTGATTATATTGCTGGTGTCCACAAACTCTTATCAGAATCTGATAAGAGTTGTTGTTTTTTTTGTTTTTTTTTAAAGTTATTTTTTTGGCCTTTTCATGCCTTTATTAGATATGGACAGCCGAAGATAGACAGGAAAGGTGGGTAGAGAGAGAGAGGGGATGACACGCAGCAAAAGGCCGCAGGTCGGATTTGAACCTGGGCCGCTGCAGCAACTCTGTACATGGGTCGCCAGCTCTACCGGGCACCCTGTTGTTGTTTTTACTGTTTGTGTTGTTTATTTTGTTTTTGCTGTTGCAGTCATCAGTCTGCAGAGAGATGGAGAGAAAAGAGGAGGAGGAGGAGAGTAAGACTACATCTCAGAGAGAGGAGGAAGAGGAAGCCGCTGCCACTGCAGGGAGAGGAGGGGATGAGGATAATGATGAAGACTCAGGTGGTGATGAAGAACAGAAAAACAAAGAAGTAGGTGATGGTGATAATGATGAAGATGAAGATGCTTCTGGGAAGAAGAAGACCAAACAGAAAGGTGTTGGAGTGACTTCCTGTCCAGACAGGAAGTGTCTTCCAGGTATAATCTACCTGGGTCACATTCCTCCGAGACTCCGCCCCAAACATCTGAGGAACATGCTGTCAGCGTTCGGAGAGATCGGACGTATCTTCCTCCAGCCAGAAGGTAAAATCAGACATACAGAAGACATGATCAATATGAACAATGTATATGATCAATGTACATTTTTATATGATCAATACATATCATAATATACCCTAAGATATATTATCTATCAATATATCATAGACTGATTAAGCCTATCTCCTGAAAGTCCTGTGTATTCTGAATTATGTTTCTAAATACTACAATACCCAAGCTCCTCAGCTACCATTGCTATGAAGAAGAAGACAGTCAGAGGTTTAGTGAAATGCACCCTGGGAGTTGTAGTAATTATTGTGTCCTGTGTGGTCAGACGGGGAGGTGAGGAGGAGGAAGAGGAAGACGGGGTTGAGGAGGTGTGACTTCACTGAAGGATGGGTTGAGTTCAGAGACAAACGAGTGGCCAAGAGAGTCGCAGCTTCTCTTCACAACACGCCGATGGGAACCAGAAAACGCCAACGTTTCTACTCCGACCTCTGGAACATCAAGGTACCCGCTAACCGCTAACATCACTGTGGCATTGCAGTCACTTGAATCTTGAATGCAGAGAGAGAGCGTGACAGCTCACAAATGTGAGGTGGTATTACACTATGTGGTGGAAAATATTAGTACATTATTAATATAGTATATTTGGAACATTAAGAACAATTTCCTGTTCTACAAACACTGAGTGTGTCCTCTAAGGACAAACCCAAAAGAACATTGTGGAACACCTTGACACAAAATCGGAAACTCCCAGAGCCAGTGTCCTCTAAGGACGGACCCAGGGGAGCATCGGAGAACACCTTGACACACAGCTGGAAACTCCCAAAACTCCCATCCGCTTCTGTTGAAATTAGATAACATGTTTGTTTTTTTATTGTTTTTTTTTGGGCTTTTATTGCCTTTATGATAGAGAGAGACAGGAAAGGGGGACAGAGAGCGGGGATCACACGCAGCAAAGGCCCGCAGGTCGGATTCAAACCCTGGGCCGCTGCAGCAAGGACTCAGCCTCGGCACATGGGTCGCCAGCTCTACCCACTGAGCTAACCAGGCGCCCAAATTAGATAACATGTTGAATTAGAAAATTCATAACTAGCCAACCGCTGATGAGAAATGACCACTGCTGCTGAGAAATGACGTCAATGAGAGGTATAAGACCAAAAGCCTCGATAGAGGTTAAGGAATTCTGTGGGTTTTCTGTACTGTTGTACTTGGTATTCTGAAGAGCTCTTGGAACTATATTGTATCTATTTGAATAAATCCTGCAAAGGCTGTTCACGAACTTCTGTCTCCACACATTTTTCCAACAGTTTCAGTCTGACAAACTGTAAGACCAGATCACGTCTGTCTCTCTACCTGTCTGTAGTACCTGCACAGGTTCCAGTGGACTCACCTGAGCGAGCGTCTGGCCTACGAGCAGACAGTGCTGCAGCAAAGACTAAGGACCGAAGTGTCTCAGGCGAAGAGAGAAACAAACTTCTACCTGAACAACGTGGACAAGAGCACTCACCTGGACAAAGTGAGGAGGAAGAGACAGAGAGACGGACAACAGGTAAACTCTAACTCACCTGAGTGTACCTGCAGCCTTACTGCAGTCTCTGTAATGACGGTTAAACTTTATTTGTGGTTGCCAGGTGGACGAGAGGACATGGGACTTCACTCAGCGTCAGACTGAGGATGAGATCCAGTTGAAGAAAAAGAGGAGACACTCAATTTCCCAGAAGCACCTGGACAAGGCCCGCCTCCTCCAACAGAACAGCCAATCAAACGTCTCTCTGCTGGCCAAGATTTTCAACTCCAACCAATCAGAGTGACAGCAGGGAGGCAGCTGATTGGCTGTGGCACTTTCCATGGAACTCTATACCCACGTCAATGAGCTCATTAAGACTGCTGTAATTAAGATAATTGAACTGTTTAGTGGCCTGACCTTTGACCTTGTCCAACAGTATCTGACATCATTCACCTGTACAGGTGGTTTAGATGTCTTTACATCACCTTTATATTTCTGTATAAAATGTAAATAAATCTACATTCCTGATAGACTTTGTGTCCAGCTGTTTTTTTCATCAGTTTAATTCTGTGATTACCTTCCCCACCTGTCTGTCTCTGTACCTGTCTATCTCTGTACCTGTCTGTCTCTGTAGTACAGTCTGTGGAGGAATAAAAACACCTGTTACACCAACAGATAAATAATATCTTTTTATTCATGAGGTGTCTGTGGTGAAATGAATGAACCCATTGTAATGAACTGCAAGTAAATAACAACAACAACAAAACTGTGTAGCTGTGCAACAAATAACCAATCAGGGAAGTTGTTTTTAATTCTTTAATCCTTAATTCTGACCTGCAGACTGAACTATTGGCTCTTCAGTGCTCTGAACCTCTTTAGCATCCAGACATCAGGATGATGTATTATTAGTTTATAATAATAATAAAGTGATCTATAACTGGCATCTGGAACAGAAAATACTGATGTAGTAAATGTTTTCTTAATAATTCAGAATCTATGGAATATTATTTAATCTTACAAGTACATCTGAATAAAGCTGCAGGTAGTCTGTGTCCAATCAACTGTATTAATAAAGCTATTGATCATTAATATTATAGTAGAGCAGCTCTGTTTATGTATATGTATATCCTATCAGATCAGCTGATCAATCAATGAACAGATTCTCACCGGCTTCCCACCCTGCAGGTGACATGTGTGTTTTTTGTAATGAAGATCAGGACAGGAAACAGGAAGTGCATAATGTTTAAATAAAAGAGTTCATTAAATACATTTTACACATTTAGAGGACAACGTTTACAACATGGTTAGAAAACTACAACACCAAACCTATTGATTGACAAGCTGATGACATTACAACAGCAGTTGAACACCCAATCACAGCAGGTGGAAGCTAAAGGAACAACCTGCAGTGTCACATTGAATTCAGTTAGCATGGTAACGTGTTTCAGTAACAACGTAAAGCGTTTTATCTACCACTCTGACTTACACCTCCTTTCCAGGGCAGCTGTCGCTGAGGCTCATGGATATTGTAGTATTTGGAACTGTCTGCCAAAATCATAAAACAGACACAGCGTGACCCTGTAAACCTGGTCCCGGTGTGATGATTCAGGTGTTCAGTCTGGATTCTACCTGTTAGTTTCTCCCTGTCAGTCTCCCTGGTACTCAGATCTCTCCAGTCCGTCGAGGACTCTGGTGTACTCTAGGTGAGCCTGGTAGAATCTGCTGCTGTACTTTAGGTTGGATCTGACGTAGTTCAGGTAGTCCGGAGCTCCAGGGCAGACCACGTTGTCAGCCAGGACCACCGAGCCCCAAGCCAGCAGGCCGCAGTCCTGCAGGGGGCGTTGGGGTTTAAGGTCAGAACATATGGTAGGTTTAGAGGTTAGGGGTCAAAGGTCAGTGGTCAGTACCTCCAGCAGTCTGATGTCAGGCAGGTAGTGGTCCTTCCAGTGGTCCAGGAAAACAAAGTCGAACGTCTGGATTCCAAACATGTTGGCCATCTTGGGAATCAGGTCAGCTGACTCACCTTCCAGCACACACACCTAACAGAGTGACATTAGCGATCAATAACCAGATCAATAACCATTCAATAAGTACAAACCTGTTTATGTCTCTACCTTTCCTAAATATTCTTATAAGGAGTAAGGTCTACAAATAAGATATTTGAATTGAATTAGAAGTTTGTTCTTTCACAGCATCAGCTTTAGTGTCAGATATCTGACCAGGATCCAAAATGAAATCCCGCTGAGCACCAAATGTGTCACGTTATTAGAGACGTGTTAATATATATTAATGGTGTTCAGCCACCAAAAATAAAACGTGAAGAAGAAAAGAAAAGTCACAGCAGTCGACGTTTTTGTGAGAGGTGGTGAGGAGGAGATACTGGATAATGTATGAACCTCTAAAGGATCAGAAAGCCTCAAAACTTTTAATTATAATGTAATTATTTTTAATCAAATAATACATGAGTTTTTCATCTGTGAACCAGGAACTTAACTTCGACCCTGTATCTGAGGTGGAAGGAAGCGAGTGGATGTCTTGAACTATGACGGCCACAAGGTAAAAGGTCCAACCAGTGTGTTCAGAAGATGTTGGAGATGATAGGACTTGGACATCCCAGCTGGTCTTAGTGGTTCCAGGTGATGTTTGGACACCAACAAGCACAATAGAGCTAACCATAGTCAGCAGAGCAGACGTTTAAGACCAGAGGCCCTCAGAACCCAGTCTGCTGCCTCTCCAGACAGCGTTTGTTCTGTGACAACCTTGAGGCAGAACCCTAGGGGGTTTCCATCAGGGGTTTTCATTTACAGTTTGTCAGCTGCTCTCAGTCGTAGCAAACCTCCGCACAGGGGTTCAGAGATCTCCTCTCTCAGCTGGGTTCCACTCCTGTTCCTCATCTCCCAAAATACCCACTGCAAAATGTTGACTGCAAAGAGTTCAACAGGACATCCTGGAAGACTAGAAAAGCGCTATACAAGTACAGGTCCATTTACCATTTACTTGACCACAGTGGACCTGCAGGACGAGTGTTATAGATCCCACATTGGCAGGACACTGGCCCTGCATCAGGTTTACCTTCAAGACCTGAAGACAGACAGTTCTGTGTTCTCACATGTAGCATTGAGCCCCCTGCAGGTTAAGGACAAATATTGGATCTAGGCGATACTAAATCCTACCACTGGTCCTTTAAGGGCAGTGGATGAATCTGCTCTCCAGAGGGATCAGGTAACCAGAGGGGATAACCGAAATCTGCAACAGTTGTAGTGGATCCCTTTGTTCTCTGGTTTTACTCCCTATAGGGACCCAACAGTATGATCAGACATTACCCATTGGTTTGTGGAGAACTGTTTTGAAGCCTCGAGTTTGCCATTTTGGCTGCTGCCATGACAGTTAGACGCAGCCAGTGGAGGTAACGTACTGCATGTTGAGCTGCTCTCATGTTGGCTGCAAAGTTTCAACTCGTGCGTAGCAGGAAACAATGGCGGATCCATATCTGATCAGCACTG